GAGTTAGTTGAGGGGTTCTAGAAAAATGTCAAACCTGCAACAGCACCATCGCCACACCAAATTTCAGCCACCTGCGCTTCCAAATCAGCACAGAACCAGCTCCTACCCAACACGGAGGGGAGACACCTGCTCCAAACCCAGCCGTGTGGGACCTCCGGGGGGAGAGCCGGGGAAATCCCACCGGATGCGAAGAAGAACCAGTTCCGTGCCGCTACCCCGGGTCGCTGTGGCACAAGAATCKCCCACCCACCAGGCGCTTCCAGGAGGGATCTGCACAGCCCCAGCGCGGCTGGGCGGGAGAGGGAGGCGAGACGCGCCCGCAGCCTCGGCCCGGGGAAGAGCTCAGGCCCTGCGGCAGGGCCAGAGCGAGCAGGGCCGGTCCCGGCGGGAGCCCCGAGACCCATTCCTCGCTCTGACCGCGACTCCGCCTCCAGTCGCTTGCGACACCACGGAGCCTCCGTCCGGTGCAGCCCGGCTCGGGCCCGGCCCGCCGCCGCCTCAGTGCTGCTGCCACCGGGCGGTGCCGCCCCTCACGGACAGGCCCCGGGGAGGCCGCGCTCACCGGGCGGCAGAGAGGAGGAGCGGGGCCGCGGCGGGTGGCGGCACGAGGAGCGGCGCTGGGTGCCGGGGACGGCGGGGGTGGAGCGGGGATAGAGGTCCCGGGGCAGCCCCGTCTCACCTGTCCCGGCGGGTCCCGCCCGGCTCCGGCCGCGCCGCTCCCGCCTCTGCCGCGTGCAGCTCCCGTCCGGCCCCCCCCGCCGGCCCGCGCGCCTYGGCCAATCAGCGCCCGGCAACGCCGGCGCCAGCGACCAATCAGCAGAGAGAACGCGTCCCCGCCCAGTGCCACCGGCCGCCAGGCCGCGCCCACCCGCGCTCCCGCCAGGCCTATCCCGTGACATGAGAGTGGGCGGTGCCCGGCGCTCGACGACCAATGAGAAATCACAGCGCGTCCCGCCGCAGCCAATCGGCGGGCGCGCAGCTCTTCCCCTCAGAAAAGRGCGGGCGGGCGGCGGGAACGGGGCGGGGTTGGGTGTCTCGTCACGTGACTGCCCGGTGACCGGGACCCTCCTCAGCCGCGCTGGGGCGGGGGTTGGCCGAAAGCTGTCGGAGCTTCAGGGACTCCATTGTCCAGGCAGCGCCCAGGAGACCAATCCGCGGCCATCGGGGATGTGCCCTGGCCAGGGCAGAATGGAATGAGGTCGCTGCCTCAGCGCCAGGACCCCCGGCCTGCGGGAGCCACCGGAATGGTCAAGAAATCGTGAAGCTTTATGGCCCCGCTCAGCCTCGGGCAGCTGCTGCTTCTGTCTGCCTCGATGTGCCCCTCCCGAGGCTGGATGGGCTCTACCCCTCGCCTCGTCCCTGCGTTTCCCGTTTCCCTTGACGCTATTTCTGCCCTTCCCATCCTCAGCCTGCCCCGCGGAACAGCCCCGCTAGTGTATTAGAGGCCAATCCCAGGCTGTCTCATAGCCCAGGTTTTACACTCCAGGGTCCTGCGGGCTGCATCACAGAACAGTTGAAACTGGAAGGGACCAGTGGAGATTACCCAGTCCGACCCCCCTGCCAAGGCAGGGTCACCCCAGTGCAAGTGACAGGAAGGCGTCCAGGGGCGTTTGGAATGAGTCCAGGCTCCACGCTCTCCCTGGGCAGCTGTTCCAGTGCTYCCAGCTGCCATGCCGCTCGAGGCKGTGTCTCYYTGCAGCCCTTGGAAAGGATGAGCTAAGCCCAGCCGCAGACGGGTCTGGAGGGTTGGGGGTATGGATAAAGGGATGTTGGTTCTCGGCAGAGGACAACCATCCCTGCCCGGCATCAGCTGTGAGTGGAGCTGTCCCGTGCCTAGCTCTTAGAGGTGCAGGAGAACTGGGAGCTTTTTTCTTGTCTTTCTTGTCTGAATCTGTGCAAATGCATTGCCTTGGGCGATTTCTCTGGGAAAAATTGTGTGGGAAAAAGGGGGGCTGGGTGATGGCCTCTGGGCTGGAAAATGAGGGAGGGAGCAGCACCCTGRGTTGGCAATCGGGCAGGGGAAGCAGGTGGAGGGGTCATGGGGAGAGGGGAGCGCCTGGAGGTAGTGGTGGAGCAGCTGGAGCTATGGCGTGGGGCAGATGGTGCCATCCTGAAGTGGAGCTGCTCCAGAATGTGCAGGAAGARTTTGTGGATCATGTGAGCAACCCACTGATCTCTGAGATGTTGGACAACCTGCTGACCCAAGGGGTTCAGAGCCTCAGTGAGGTGGAAGAGGTGCAGGATTGATGCAGGACGCCCGTGGGTAAGGCCTGGCTCCTCGTAAACATTGTGCTCCAGAAGGGCACCAGGGGCAGCCAGATCTTCATTRACCGCCTTAGGATGGTGGAGCAGCTGGGTCTGAGCTGACTCATGTGAGAGATGAGGGGTCATGGTCTGTTCCTCGCCAGAGCCTGCAGTGGAATGCTGAAGCAGGGTCTAGCCCTGGGGAGTGTCCAAAGCTCAAAAGCAAGGGGCAGTTGGGTATCGTTGCTCTGAGACCTCCTTGCCACCCTGTGATGACAGCTCTTGGGAGTGGCTGTCCCCTGTGGGGCTGAACAGGGACCCCCAACAGTCACTCTTGCTGCAGGCACTTCCCGGTGTAACTAAGGGGCTTTCTGCTTGCAGGGTGCTCTGCTGTGCCACTGGCCTTCCCTGACACTGCRGTCCCCCTTTGGCCCCCATTGGCATCCAGGGCCAGCAGCGCTCCCTGAGTGAGTACTGCGACACCAGGGACAGAGAGAGCCCATGTGCTGTGGGGAGAGGAGGGCTGGAGCATAGCCCAGCCACCCTGATGGAGCAGGCAAGGGTATGCTGAGGGGAGCTAGGGGCTTGCTGACCAGGAAGCAGGGCAGGAGGTCACAGAATTACAGAATCAGATTGGAAAAGACCTTTGAGATCATTGAGTCCAACCTTTACTGCAGGGAACTCCACTGCCAGGGCACATGGCTGTTCAGGACATCTGCAAATCCCTCTCAGCAGCACCAGGGCCAGAGCTTTGCAGCTGCCTTCCCTGGAGCCTCCGTGGGCTCCAGCCCTCCCCACAGGATCTGCCTCCACCCCTTCCCCTCCCAATTTTATCTCCCCCACCAACCAGTGCAGTGAAAATTGGATTCTCCTGCTGGGTCTCAGATGGCTCCARGACATGCCAGCCTGTCAGCTGGGAGAACACAAGAGCAGAGGCTTGAAGAAAATATTCACATCATTTGTATCTTCACTGGGAGTTCCTGTCCTTTTTCCATGCTTTTGATCAGATGGTCAAATAAAWTGATCTTGGAAAAGGTGCCCCAGTGTTGTGACCTGGCACCCAGCGTTAATCACTGTTGCAAGTGAGGGACACCAGCAAAGCCACACTTGACATCTTCTGTCCCCCCAGATACCATGTCCTGCAGGTCATCAATAGGCTCCATTTCTACCCAATGCCTGATACAGTAGTTTCAAAACCATGCCTGCAACAACCACATAGAGAAGTTCTTCCTAAAGGTGAGGTTTGTGGTTAACTGCAGCTGTGCCAAGGGTCAGAAATCCTGCTTGCAGCAGAGCTCAGGCCAGGCCAGATCGTTTCTTGGCAGGCCCCTTGGGAGCAGGCTGTCAAAAAGGGCTCTGATTTGGCCTGGGGAAATCAGCYGGATCCCTTGAGGCATCAGCACTTTGACACATGACAGACATAGAGCCCAGTGTGTTGGTGCAGCCCATGACATCCTTGTGCCACCAGATACACGCCTGGATGTGCCCCTGGGATGTCTCCTGATTCCCTGAAACCCTTCCCATGCAGGAAATAGGGCTGCTCTAATTTCTCCCTGCTGTCTCTCTCACCCCAGGTCCAACAATGCTTCCCTGTGTTCCCTCAGCAGATGCCATCACAATGGACTACAGTGTTCTGGAAGCWCTACCTCTTTCCAGGCCACTGATCTCCTGCCGTGGTGAAACTCTTCACCRCACACCTTGTAGCACCTTTTATCTGCATCCCCAGCCTGGTAACTGGTCAGCAGGAAGGACTGGGGAGAAATCCCCCACTGATCCWGGGCTACAGAGCAGATGGCTCAGTCCAAAGTTCTTGTGTGCTGATATCTGTGGCCAGACCCCACCCCCAGCTGGCGGATGGCACCAAGGAACTCATTTCAGTAGCCTGCAACATAGGAGCTTATTGGTTTGATGTTTTCACAGGTGGAAAAAAAAAATAATACAGAGGGCAAAATTGTTTGAATTTGAGGATGATATAGCAGAAAGCTCAAGGCCAATGCAGCCCAGCTTCTGAGAGATGCACTGTGTCAGGAAAGAACAAGGGGAAGAGACAAGAACAGCTCTGCAGAAACACAGCAAATCTCCAAAGCAGTCCCTGGTGCCCACTCTGCCAGGCAACTATAACCAGTCCTGGAATAAAAACATCCTCAGTCTCCTGCTCTCCTCTTTCGGAGCCTCCAAACAACCCCAAATTAAGCAAATTCATCCCAGGGAGCAGCAGACAAATGGTTCTGGAGCAGCAAAAGCAGAGCTGGTTRGTGTCACTCTCTACTGTMCCCACACAGTYKTGATAGAAATGATCTATCACCCCYATAGTTGCTTCTGCCCTGTCCCCAKCTTTACCAGTTGTCCAGCAAAGGGATTTTTGCAGCAGGCATCCCGCTCCTCTGCCTCCATCCAGCCTGTGGTGGGTGGGTTTTGTTCTGCCTCAGGAGAATGCAGAGCAGGTGGGAGGGGAGAAATTGATGGGAACTCAGGGAAGAAGGGACACCCACCTTTTGGGACAGGCTGGGCCAATGCTCCCTGCTCAGGAAGCAGATTCCCCCACTCTCCAATCTTCATGCTGCCCCAGGCATAAAACAAGGATGCAGTTCCCCCTGGGAGCGAAGGAAGATCCCCAAACCTGTGTCTCACATGCTCTGTTCCCACAGCTTGTCACATTAGGGCCCAGTCTAATTGTCACCTCCCACCAGCATCCCTGCTGGCAAGTGAGAGCCCCCTCCTGTGGTGTGCACACACCCCCTACCCTCCATGGCCACATCCAACGCCTGTTAAACCTTGGCACAGATTCAGCTTTATTGCATACTCTGCAAAGTCTCAGCCAGTTCCATGGACGGGTCTGGCAGCAGGAAAATGAGAGGGATCTCCTGCCCACTCTGTGTGCCTGACACTCCTGTGCAGGAAGGACAGTGTTCTGAGCCAGTGCCACCTCGTGTCCCTGCGAGGTGGCAGATCTGAGGTGCCTCCACTCTGGCTGCAGGAGAACCAGGACAGGAGAAGGCCTTGCAGGCAGGATCAGACTGCAGTGAGAACAGCCAGTCCCAGYTGAGCCCATCCTCAGAGCCCAAGCCCTGCGTCACTGCCCAGAATTCCACAGGACGCACACGATCCTTGCAGAAGCCCTAGTCCCCAGTGCTACAGTTGTGGCAGGAACCTGAGGACAGCAGTGATGAATTCTTCAAATTTATCCTGATGGACTATGTGGCCCGCACCTTTAATGTACTGGATCTCTGCCTTGGGGAAGAGACGTTGGATCTCTGGGTAGTCTCTGGGGCTGCAGGACAAGGACATGATCAGAAGTTCCTCTTGGTGTCTTCTCTCACCCTCCCCAAGTAGAGGGTGATCCCAGGTATGACTTTCCCTGCTGGGAAAGCTCAGGGCTGCGCCAGGTTCCCCCTCACTCCAGCATGTCAGTGTCACTGGCTACTGGAGGCACAGCCCTCGCTCAGGACCTCCCCCATCCTGGAGACATCTCCCACCCTTGGCAGCTGCAAAGAGCACAAGGGGTCAAACCCCAGACCTGGAACYGCTTCTCTCCAGTCTCACCTGATATAGGGTGAGTCGGATCCTCCCAAGAAGAGTGCAGGACCAGGATATGGCTTGTGGAAGACAGGGAAGTTCATGATATCTGCCAGGTGCCGGGAAATAGCCTCCARGTTCACCCGCCACACATAGCGGCCCTCCACCTCCACCAAGTTGGTGAGGAGGAACTGTCTCAGCTGTGGGTGCTGCCGTGGAAGGGGATCATGCACGCTTCAGTAAAAGCAACAAAGCAGGATGTCCTGGCACACTCCATCCTCYCCTCTACCCCCATCTCCCATGGGATTTCCTACCTTGACCACAGGCTGCAGCTGGTTGTCAGCCAGCTGGCGTGCTGCAGAGCGGGACAGCCCCTCCGGCACCTTCACCTCCTTCATAGCCGCGATGTAGGCAGAGAATTCGGACACAGGGGYGGTTGTGGTGGGACCAATGTCTACAGAGATGAGGCGCTCCACCAGGTCTGGCTGGAGACACAGGCAGGGCAGGGCAGATAAGACGCCAGGATCTCCCAAGATCTCCCCAGTGGGAGTGGGCACAGGGCTCCACTCCTGCTTGGATTCCTTAGAGGCTCTTAGCTCCCTCCTGCCTTAGCAGAGACCTCCATGTAGCCTTCCCAGAGTCCTTGTGCTTGACACAGATCTCCAAGCTCCCTTGCAATCAGTGSTGGAGGGACAGGGCAGAGCATGGGCAAACACATTATTTGCTCCTGCTCCCACAGCCTGGCCTCCAGCCCTGGCACAGCACCCACCCTGACACAGATGAGTCCCTGCAGAGCTGGGGGSCAAGGCTGACTCATTGGTGTCAGCTCCAGAAAGTACCACCCGCTTCCTACAGCCCTCCCTGGAACTCCCTGAGGCTGTGACCTCACTCCCACCCCCAGAGCCCCGTGCCTGCTGACCCGCTGCAAGGCCAGCGTCATGGCCGTCTTGCCCCCCATGCTGTGTCCCACGAGGATGCACTTGGTGAKGCCCAGGCGGTTCAGGAGCTGCTGCACATCCAGGCTCATCGCTTCATATGTCATCACGGGGCTGTGGGGACTGCTGCCATGGTTCCGTGCATCCACTGTCAGCACCTGCCTGGGCAGGGGCACCGTGTCACGCTACATGCTGTTCACCATGACCCTGGACCCCTCYCTGGGTGCTGTGCTCTCCCCACCCCCTGGGTCTCACCTTGCCRCTACCACGGCGTACCAATGTCTTGGCCACCGTCTGGAAGTTGCCATGGCTGCCAAAGAGCCCGTGGAGCATGACGAGGGGTGGCTGGTCCCTGTGACCCTCTACCTCCACGTGGGCCAGGGGCACTGCACTGCAGGGAGAGAGAGGCATGGGGTATGGCCAGAGGTGCAGGGGGGAAGTGGGCCCTGCCTCTCTGCTCAGCCTTGGTGAAGCACATTTGGAGTACTGTGTCCAGTCCTGGGCTCCTCAGGAAAAGGGAGACATGGAGCTCCTAAAGCGGGGCTAGTAGGGGCTGTGAGGATGATGAGGGGACTGCAGCATCTCCCTATCGAGGGTAGGCTGAAGGAGCTGGGGCTGTTTAGCCTTGAGAGGAGACACAGCTGAGAGGGGACCTCATCCCTGTGTCCGTGTCTGCAGGGAGGGCTCCAAGCAGTGCCAAGCTCTGCTCCCTGGCTGTCACAGCAGTGGCACCAGAGGGACGGGCAGGGACTGAGCCCTGGGAATTCCCCTGTACAGGAGACAGAACTTCTGCCTTGGGCAGGGACCGAGCCCCGAAAAGAGACCAGAGAGAGGGCAGAATTTTCCTTCCTGGCGATATTCCACACCGCTCTGGACACAGCCCTGTGCCCTGTGCTCTGGGATGACCCTGCCTCAGCAGGGACGTGGGACCAGACGAGCTTCGGTGGTCCCTGCCAGACTGACCCATGCCGGGATCCCGTGAGATCGTGACCGGCTSTGGCTGAGGGCACTGCGGGGMGGGGCAGAGGGCGTGGTCTCATAGRGCGCGTGGCCACGGCAGACCCACAGTCCGCACCACAGCATAGGGGGCGTGGCCATCTCCCTTGCGACGGCCACGCCCCCGCTCATGGACCCCTCCCGG